AGGGAAAGAAATAATTTATCGAATCTTCAAGTAGTCCTAAACTGTGTCTCCTTGGAAGCTGCCAAGCACCTTCCATGAAGCCTTAAATATCTTTGCCTTTTGCTCTCCAGATATTTTAGCTCTGACTATAGAACCAATTAGTGCTGTGTAGTGGAGAGGTTGAAATCAGGGGAGATCTGGCTCAAGTGCTCATAAGTCAGTGTACCTCTTTGAGCATCAAGTTCCTCTTCCATAAATAGAAGAGGTATTTTCTTACATGGCCATTATGAGGATCAAATACAGCAATAGGTAGAAAGTGCTTGGTGAACTGAAAGATGCTGTAGAAACATGAAGGACATGTGCACCCTTGAGAATGAGGGTTATCAGAGGCTCTGGGCTTGGGCTTCCTTTTTGGAAGATCTGGGCTTTCTCAGACTCCTTTTCCCTGTGTTTCGGATGAGCCTTGTGTTCAGCCTAGACACACAGGTAAAGAAAGACAATGAAAGCACTTAGGTTCTGTTTGTGGCTCCTCTCAGCCAGTCCTATATGGAAGCTGTCCCTGTCTCAGGGTCCTCAGAGACCTGGGTCTGTCTCTGGGACATTTGCTTAAGGGAATCTCCTTATCACACACTCTCACAGTATCCTCTCCTTCATCTTTAGGACTCGAGGTAATGACAGGTAAATGTATCCACTCCTGTTCAGCATTTTATGGAGATTTTGTGCAGTTCTTCTTTTTAATTTTAATCAATATAGGCTTATGCCTCACTGTTCTGATTAAACTTAAGAGAGTACCTTTGGAGCAGAGTTGGAAAAGAAACCCATTGGCCAGCACTTGGTTGCACTTCTTCTTTGTGTGCCCTTGATTTCCATATCTGTGTCCTGGGGGTCAAGCTGTGGGTCCTCTTGCACCAGCGAAGCATCTCTGAAGATGACAGATTTGCTGCAGAGCCCAATCCTCTCCCAAATATGTAGGGGCCAGTTTCTTTATTGATGCTACTCAGCTCTTACTAGTTCGTGGGACTTATGCAACTTGAGACACCGAGTTTGCAGCCTTATCCCTGCAGTTCCTCTGGGCAGACCCCAAATCATCCCCTTCCCCTCAGGAGGAGGTAAACTTGGCTCAGAGAGCCTGGTGTTGGAGATTTGTCTCTCATCTTCATAAGATGCTATTTTCTTCTCTTCTTTGCCTCCATGAAAGCTTAAAAATGAAACTGCACATACATATATGTATGCCACTTATTTATCAAATCTTGTTGCTAGGTAACTGGCAGCTCTCCATCCTTTTGACATTCTGCTAGTAACTCTGTCGTACTTCAAAAGATATAAAATGGTGAGAGCATTTTCTGGACTAGTCACTAGTCAGTGAGTACAATCAGTTTTAAAATATCAGTTTTTAAATCAGTTGTCCTAATGTTGTCTTCCTCATGCATCTTATCCCTCAAATCAAGTTTATCAAGCACTATAGTAAAAATCGTTTTAGATATTTGTTTAAGAACCTCACAAAGACACCCCTACCCCTGTCAAATGTTCATGGTCCAGGGCAACATTGTAAAGTGCTTTTGGAAAATAATATCAGAAGCAAATGCACTTTGATGTGCTTTATTGGAGCAGTTGTGAGGGGAAAGTAGCTGAGGAGTTTGAACTTGACTCATTGGTTTGGGGGTCATCACTAAAGAAGTTTAAGGGAAGGGTCAGATTTACCACGACACTAGGAGTGAATGGGAGGGAGAGGAGGAATGAGAAAATGCTTAGCCCCACGGTGACATTCACAATGGACAGCAGGGATGGGAAAGGAAGAAGAGAGTCAAGAGATTTCTGCTCAAGTTTTGACTTAAGACAAAAGCTTGAGGCAAAGAAGCAGTTCACCATGGATAAACTGAAGAGAAGTGTGTTCTGATAGAAGCATTGAATGCCCAGATGTGTTGGAATAGAGAAGGAGGTAGTGTGGAGGGTTTGACTAGGGAGCTGCTGAAAGTCAGACTGAGGAGTTAGCTTGTAGACCTCAGCTGGCATAAGCAAGTTAACCTTCCTAAGATGCTTTGAGTAGAAGATCTCAGAGGAGAGGAGCCCTTTGCAACAGGGTCCCCCTGGAAGAGAGTACAGGCAAGTGGAAAGGACATCAGGTCCTGAGTGGAGTCCCGCATGGTGAATGGACTGTCCTGAGTGCTGGAGTTCCTGTCTGACATCCTCCCCATGTGCATTCTCTGCCTACCATCTTTCTCAGGTCTGTCTTAAAGAAGTATGAGCTGGCAGGATGGGGAAAAGCTTCTCTGGGAGCTCATTTAGGCCTCAGGCCTCAGTAAAAAAGGGCTACTTGAGGACATAGGGCAATGGGCTGCACCACTCATCTGCTCTGGGATGGGGGAGTGAGAGAGAAAGAAAGAGCTCCTGTTTCTTTTCCAGAAGATTCCTGCCAACACTAGAGAGCTCAGGAATCCCCTGGCTAGGGGGTTCACCACTTCTTCCTCTCTCTCTGATTGCGCTCCCCCAGCACTCTTCTTTGGTTACCAGTAAATAAACCCTGCCAGTTTCTCCAGAACCTTTTCTCCAAGAGCAGTAGACCCTTCCTTCCCAGGAGGGTCTTCGCTCTGTGAGGCAGGTGCATTGGTCCTCAGGCTGGTCCATTTCCACATTCTGATTAGTTACCTGGGACTACTCCTGGAGGTTCTATCCTAGCCCACCTCACACCCCACCTAAGGAATTCCTTGCCGGTCTCAGCCTTCATCTTCTCCCTTCAACAAGACTCACCCTCCTCTGGCTTCTCCCAGAAGTCAGCTGCAAGAACACATAACACATAGCACCCGGGCCCTTATCAGCCTGGCCTTGCTCTTCCTCATGGCTTGCTCTTGTGGTCTGGCATGGATCCCCAACTTCTGTTGCTCCTCAACTTCTATTGCTCCTTTGGGCCCAGGGCAAGACCTGTTTCCTCACTGCCCTCAGTGCTTCCTTCCAGTTCCAGGCCTTATTTGGATCCTCCTGTTCTCCTTTCCAGAGTCTACTCCCACATGAGGTCCATCCAGCCATTTTCCCACTGCCCTAGCCACCTTTTCCTGCTTCTGACCCCTGGGCCATATCCTCCTCAGCTCTCTCCATCTTTTCTGTGCCTTTTACTTTCCCTTTGCCTTTCTGAGCATTTAAAATAGTTTGCCTTTGGTTCCCACTGTGCAAAGTGTATGTTTTACCTTCCTTATTAACCCCTCTGCTGCTTGGGGACCGAGACTGGGCTTTTCTTAGTTTTCTCTACTGTCTCTTCCCTCTTGGGGCCTTGCTGAGGGCCCTTTGTATGGAAGGTGCACATTGCAACTCATGTCGTCTCACTGCAGGGACCTCTCCTGCAGCCTCCTTGCCCCCGTCTTTGCTCAGAGGACCTCAGCACGGCACCTTGCATGCCATCAGGCCTGACTGGCATGTCTGTCCCCCAGACTGGGAAGATGGGGTGTTAAGCTGATTAATACATGCAGTGTTTGGAGGTGGCCTTGCTTGAGGTTGTTCCTTTCTTACTGTTAGTGTCACTCATTCTTTTTTTTTTTTTTTTTATGGTGCTGGGAATTGACCCCAGGGCCTTATGCATTGCAAGGCAAGCGCTCTACCAACTGAGCTATATCCCCAACCCTATGTCACTCATTCTTTGAGCATCAGTGAAACCCTAAATCCTGCAGCAGACAGGGGATGTATTTTTGGACACTTCTTTTATCCCAAGTCACAGCTTTGTCTTAGTGTTGTTTAACTGGGTTGACTGTTACTCTCTTCCAAGCCTTAAGTTAATAATCCCCAGATGGAAACATGCTACCAACCCTTCTGTTAGCTTTTCATCTTTAACACATCACAGTGATTTTTACAAAAATTGGGTATTTGTTGTTTAATACGCCAGAGGTGCACCTGTTCTGTTACTATGTTATAGAAAATGTGTTATGAAGAACAAACACTCGTTCACAACCTTATACCAAGTAAACACATGAACGTTTTGGTATACTTAGTGACACAAAGAATAGTATGGCTGTGTAGGTGCTCCTTGACTTACTTGGCATCATATCCAGCTAACTCTGTCGTAAGTTGAAAGTATTGTTAAGTCAAAAATTCATTTAATCTCACCTCACCTTCCAGACATTACTGCTTAGCCTAGCCTACCTCAAACAGGCCCACAACACTTACATTAGACTGCAATGGCTAAAACCATCTGTGCAAAGCCTATTTTATAATGAGTATTGAGTTTCTTATGTAATTTATTGAATATTGTACAAAAATTGAAAACCAGAACATACCATTAAGACATGTTAAAGTACAGTTTTTGCTGACCTGTATCACTCCCACACCAGCATAAATTTTAAAAATTGTTGTCAGAGAACATTTTATAGTGCTTCTTATCATAAAGTAAGACCATATATATAAGCAGTCAGTAACTGCATTCATTGTATATACATGATGGCAAACCTATATGTGCACATCCATGTATAGGTTCATGTGTGCCCATGGAAAGCATGCTGGGGACTTTATTCTTCTGAATATCATGTCTTAATTTTTTTATGCCTATTTAAAAGTCCACAGGCACATGGGAGTGATTAAAAGACTTCAATACTTTAAAAAAAAAAAACAGTGCTAGGATTGAACCCAGGGGTACATTTTACACTGAGCTATACTCCTGGCCCTTTTTATTTTTAAATTTGAGACAGGGTCTGGCTTAGTTGCCCAGGCTGGCCTTGAACTTACTTGTGACCCACTTGCCTCAGGTTTCTGAGTTGCTGGGATTATAGACATGCACGACCATGCCCGGCTTTAATACTTTCTTAGAGATTGAGGCTGTAGTGGTCCGTGCTCTCCATATACAGAGACAGGAACTCACAGAGGAAGGAGTCAGAGTGCTGCTTTGCCCAGCATGTATCCAAAGCCCTCAGTTCTTACAAGTTAGCCCCTTGCTCTTGGTCATTTGATGTGAACAATGTGCCATTTCATCCCTTTAGATAGTAACCTCTGGTCTGATACTTCTCTTTTCGTCCCCTCCTGATCTCCTGCTTTCTGGGAAGAGAGAATCACAGTGAGATTGAACGGCGCAGGCGGAACAAGATGACCCAGTACATCACAGAGCTCTCTGACATGGTGCCCACCTGCAGTGCGCTGGCCCGGAAGCCAGACAAGCTCACCATCCTCCGCATGGCTGTCTCACACATGAAGTCCATGCGGGGCACAGGGAACAAGTCTACTGATGGCGCATACAAGCCTTCCTTCCTCACCGAGCAGGTACCCACCGTTACTCGTCTGTGGTCCATTCTTTTTGGCAACATCATTCTGAAAGCTGGGAGAGTCACAGTGTCATCACACTGAAATAAGCTATGTGGGGAAATGGGATTTGAGGTTGAGGAAGGGATGAGGCCAAGAAATTTTGCTTCTACTTCTCATCAAGAAGCTCTCTTCAAGAATATCAGGTTCCTGTGTCTTCTGCTTTTATAGTCCCCATATGCCTTATGAGGTATCCCTCAAAAAAGGTACCATGCACTGGGACAATGAGCTTTTGGTGACACAGGAAGAAGTCAGTTAAAGACACAATCCCGATTACCAGGACAGGTGAGGATAATCATCCTTTGAGAATCATGGTAGCACTGATGATGGAAATAAGTGTCTTTTCTACTAGCACAAGCAGGCATTTGCTCAGGGACTGGTCTGAGTCATATCTTTCTGTACATTGTTTAATTTACTCCTTATTCCAGTTCAGTGGATAAACCACTATGATTCATACCTGTTTTATAGGTGAGGAAATCAGGCTTAGAAAGCAGCAGTAAATTGCCCAAGGTCAATCAGCTGCTTAGTGAAGGAGCCAGGAGTTGGTCAATGGAGACAGGTTTCAAGGACCCAAAAGCCATACTTTTTTTTTTTTTTTCAGTATTGGGATTAAACTGAGAGGTACTCTACCACTGAGCTACATCTCAGCCCTTTTTCCTTTTTCCTTTGAGACAGGGCCTCACTAAGTTGCTGAGGCTGGCATAGAACTTGTGATCCTCTTGCCTCCCAAGTCACTGGGTTTACAGGTGTACACCACCATGCCCAACCCCAAAACATATTTTTTAACTCCAACCAAGTCTTTGAATAGTTGGGAAGAAGAAACACATGTGACAGTATCAAGTAGTAGATTTATGTGAACCAGAGGGCCTGTGTTCAGGGTCCTGGTGTTTACATGTGCCTGTCACAGAGCAAATCAGCAAATGTTGTGTGTTTCAGTTTGCTCATCTGTAATAAAGGTAAAGCTTTTTGACTTTCTGACTCTAGGAGCTTTTGCAGCATAAATGAGGCAGTGCATTTGAAAGAAATTTGCATATGGCAAAAGGGAGAAAGGGAAAAATTATGTGGTTGACAGGGAGTGTAGTTAGGAAGTACAAAAGGATGTGCAGTGTAGCATCCTGAGTGTTCAACAAGACCAGAGCATGTGGGCAAAAAGAGAGAGAGTAGATATGGCAGGGTTTCATCAGGGCGCATCTCAGGACAGAGACAGCATTGACAAGCCATTGTAGGAACCACATAATGTATATAGAAAGAGGAGAACAGAGGGACTTTTTAAAGTATGCACAGAGTCTCAGAGGAATGATGGCGAATTGTTTGTACTTCTAGAGTTGAGAATCTTCATATCATGGAAATAAGTTTAGAAAAAGAACAAGGAAGAAGAAGCAACATTTTTTTTTTCTTTTTTTTTTTTTTTTTTCCTTTTTGGCAGTTGTTAACCATTTTTTTTGAACCCTTCTAGGGTCATGTGATCTGTCACTCTGGAGGTATTGGGAAAGTATGCTGGTCATATGAGGACATGGAATAGGGCGGTTCAGGACATGGGCTTCAAGCCTTGTTTCTATCTCCATAAAAAATGAATGCAATGATTATTCCATCTCCTGCAGATGAGGTGGCCAAAGCAATAAATGTATACTGCTTGGAAGATAATGAAGGATGAATGGCTGTTAGGTAACCAAACCAATTTATTAAGCACATTTCTTTATTCCTTACAAAAATCCTGCAGGACCAAGATTTGAAGTAAACCCCTTTATCTTTAAGTACTGAAAGTGAAGAGATGAAGATAGAGGAGAGAGAACGCAGGCTATACAATCATATGGATCCTACCAATGTTTCTCTCTGGGTTATGTGGAAGATAATGACACATATACTTATGGAATATCTACTGTGTGCCTGACCCTTACTAAGTTCTTCATACACAACTCAATTAACCTCCCCAAATCTCATTGAAAACTGAGCTGCATGGAATACTGAAAAGGAGGACATTAAAAGTATCCTGCCTAGAATTGCTCAGTTAAGTGAAAGAGCCATGGAGAACAATCTCCTTTTACTCTAAAATCCCTGCTCTTAACCCCTGCCATCTGTTCAAGTGGAAGAGAGGGGCAGGTTGGGTTCTGGGTCTCCAACACAGAACTTGGGTTATGAGCAATGAGCTCCCAGGAAATGAACCATGGGGATGAGGTGATAGGAAGAGAGGAACATGATGAGGGTATGGCTATGTCCCATACGACCTTCATCCAATCTTTGCGAATGGATGAAAACATGAATGCATAAACAAAGCCATTCAGCCTTCTCCAGTGGCAGAGTTCTCCACTTCCTCAGATATCCTGCTCCATTATTTTTTAAAACAACTCTTCCTGTTGGAAAAATCTTCCTGATACTGAAAATAAAAATGCTGACCCAGTCCTCTGAACTGAGTAAGCATCTGGGAGACCTAGAACCACAGAAGTGCAGAGTATGGGAAATGGGCAAAATAAACTTTTTCTTAAAAAACACTACTTCCTTCCTGGGTTCCCAGGCTGAAGATATTTGAATTTCTCTCCAGACAAGTGCTCAGGGACATTCACAGAGATCCTCAGGTCCTGTTCCCACAGATCAGAATCTTCTAGGCTTTAGGTCCCTGGAACTCTCTCAGGGATTGGGACATAGAGTAGGACCAGAGTCTCCACATCAATGAATGGGTTGCAGGAGCCTTTACCTCTGCTCAGGGGGCCCTTGCCACATTTTATAGTAAGGCTTCTATATATGATTATACTTGAACAAAGGATTCATAGCAAAAGATGCTTGCTAATTGCTAAAATACAAATATGCCTTTGTTCTTCGGGGTCTGATCAGTTTGTGAGATGGTTGGCAGGTGGTTGTGGACTCTAACTGCATTGGAAGGGTTAAATTCTCAACTCTTGCAGGTATAGAACCCCTTTCATTCACTAGGAAAGGACTCCTTAGCTTGATGTGACAACAGTGTAGGGAGTTATACTTGAGTTGCTTTTAGGCCCTACAAAGAAAAAACATCTCATGTTAGCAAAGTTGATTTTGCCCCATCTGTGTCCCTCTGGGGATGATGGCAAAGCTTCCTGCTGCCCATTCATTGATTCTGAACCACTTTGTTCCTGCCTTCAATGACAGTCATGACTTTACCTACCTGTGTGATCCCAGAGCTGATTCTTCTAACCTCTTCTCACTATAAAGTGATATGTATAGTGCTAAATGCCTTGCTGCCTCCTGGTCTACTCTGAGAGTCTGTCAAGAGTCTGATGATGATTGTCAGCATTCTGGAAGCATGACAGACATGAGGAAGTAAGGGGATATTTACATCCAGTGCCAGTGTTCAGCTCAGAAATGCAGGAAGAGAAGAGAAGCAAGAGTGCACTGTCAGCATAGCAGGCACTGGCTGGAGATGCAAGCTCTCTTTCCTGCTCTCCTTACCCTCCTGTTTTCCCTTCCTCCCTTCTCTTCAGCACCTTTTGTGCCAGGCACTATGTTCTGGGTGCTTCTGGCTGCAATAATATGATAGTGGTTACAGCATGTGGGTGGAGCTGCTCACTCTTCTGGCAACTCAACACCTGCTGATCACTGCCTGCTCTCCCATTCTCCTAAACTGAAAATGTCCTCCTTCCTAAAAGGACTGGTAAAGAGAGAGCCAACAGTATTTAGAGTGGCTGTGTCTTAGGGACAGTACTAATTTTGTGCATTTTTCTAGCTTATATTCCAGTAAAACTTGGAGTAATTTTCCAAACTATTTGTGCACCAGAATGAGTGTACAAATAAAAGAAGTTAAGGGTTACATTTAATTGGTCTAGAACTGTCAGTACCTTGTGTTAATGAGTCTTTTTCTTTGTAGGAACTGAAGCATCTCATCTTGGAAGCAGCTGATGGGTTCCTGTTTGTAGTAGCAGCTGAAACAGGGCGAGTGATTTACGTGTCTGACTCTGTCACCCCTGTTCTCAACCAGCCCCAGTCAGAGTGGTTTGGAAGTACCCTCTACGAACAGGTGCATCCCGATGATGTGGAGAAGCTGAGAGAGCAGCTGTGCACCTCAGAAAATTCCATGACAGGTCAGTAGATTCCTTTACAAATCTATTTGGCCCTAGAAAAAATTTTTTCAAGTAGACACACTAAGAAGTTGGGTATAATAAAAAGCTTCCTTGAGCTGAGGGGATGCATTTTACTTAGTGTGTAACATTATAATAAAATCCATTTTTAATACATTACTTTCCCTATATTTTACATGTAATAAGTGCACATCGTCACTGGGAGTCGCCATTGATAATATAATTAGACCCATATGAAGTTTGTGCAGCAACTGAGGGGTTATTTGTGATCCTGATTATAGACAATTACTACCCAGGCCTTAGTTACCTGAAATATAGTTTTTTATTAAAATATAGTCTGTTCCGCTATAATCTAACACATGCAGTCTTTCTAAGAAATCAC